TGCCGGATCACAGAAGTTCAGGGTGGTGAGGGATGTTTGATGTTATCTGTACCGGATTTTATTGGATGGAGCAACCTCCCCACAAGCACCCTTAGATGCGGTCCTTCAGTCTCTACCCGAACAGCCCCAGGAATGAGGAACTCAGTGCCATTAGTTCAGACTAAATGGTATCCCCATGAGCAACATAACCATGTGAAACCAAACAGCACGTGCCTGGCAAGGTCTGCAGCAGGTACGGACAAAAGGGGAGCCAGAGAAAATAGGTTCTCTGGAATCCTAAACAACCTTATGTCACCAGCAGGTCCCAGGCAGGTTGTGAAAAGGCAGCTAGCTGTTCTTGGACACCAGATGCCAGAGAAACTGCTCTAATTTTAGATTTAACATAGTGCTTACTAAAGAGGTCCAGGACTCATGGGTCTGGAATGTGATGTGCTTTTGCTCTCGGGCTCCTGCCCTGCTGTTCATTCTGCTCCCATCATTTTCTGATATTGAGATGGGGAGAACCAGACCATGGAACTGGCATGTGCCTGAGGGATTTGCCAAGAAATAGAATTCAAATGCCAACCTTGAGAGACAGAGTTGATGATGGCCACTCTCTGATGGGCTAAGAGCTTGTTTTCGTGGTGGCATTGTGCTGATGAGCCTCTACTCATTCCAGATCCCTCTTCTGCCCTTCTTTGCCAGCTCTTGGTCCCAGAAGGCTGAATCTAGCCGAGGACATCAGGTTGCAGTTTCAGCCAATCTATGGGGAGCACCAGAAAATTAGAGAGCAAGAAGAGAGAGGCTGAGGTACTGCTTTCTGGCTCTGGAACCTGACCTCTGGCTGGAGCTGTGGCCCCTACCCTGTCCCAAATCTAGCAGCACAATTTCCTGTCCTTATTCTGTTGGCCCTAGGAGTGCTGCTGGCAGCTGGTTTCTGGGTGTCTCACCATCTCTTAGTTTGTACCTTAACATCCATACCTTTGAAATAGACCTTCACCGAAGTCTCTATTAAATTCAAGTGGGGGGAGTTCTATTTCCTATCTGACAGATTCCTCGTTACCATCTTTCCATGGTAACAATGTTCCTTCTATCTCTTCCAATGAGGAGAGCAAGCCCTGTGTCGCTGTCCTAGCACTAACTCCGGGGGACCTCATAGGCCCATGTGGGCCCCAGGTAAACAAGACAGGTGACTCTGTACATATCCCACCCTGGAATTTCAAGCCTCTTTTGGATGTATGAGTCGGTTTATTCCACATGCCTCTTCTGGAGGTAGAAGAGGTAATGTTTCTACTGGGAGTCAGACCTTGTTTTCCCTGCCTGAGTGTGACACACGCAGAGTCTTTGTACCATCGTGGAATTGTGGGAAATTCCAACACACAGAGCACGGCATCCTCGTTTAATATTGACCAGTTCCCCTCTGAATTCTGTTCCCAAATCTGAGCTAATCAATATGTTTCCTTTTTCCTGAGCAAGAACTTAAAGTATTATTGTAAAAAAAGTTTAAGCAGAGGAAAAAGCAAACAGCCTTCTAAGGTTGTGTTAATCCTCCAAAGCTTGTCAGCCAAATGACTAACCTTCTGTTTATAAATAGAGGGGGCTTCCCAAGACCTAGGGACCCGTCATGTCACAAGCTAGCCCCAAGTGGTTACCAAGTGGTTCGCTGGCATACTGGCTTGAATCTTTTATTTATTTATAGTGACAGTAACATATTTGGTGCTTACACATTCTCCTGAAAGCCTGATAACCCCAGTTATCTCATGCTGTAAGTGGCCCAGTTTTCACTGAGTTAGAAATGAGCGTGTGGAGGGGGAAGGGAGATGGGGAACATTCCGATTTGCCCACAGTTTCCTAATGGAAGTGTGTCTTTGGAGCAGCCCTGTTGGCTACCATGGACACCTGTGAGTTCTCCACAGAAGCTGTCAGGTCAGCTTAGAGGCATCAGTGATGAAAATCCTGAGCTATTTCTGGAGTAGGTGATTGATGTTTCACAAAGAAGATGACAGTTTGATGGGATGCAGGCTCGATGGGATAGGAGTTAATGAGGATAATGATGATGATAATGATATTTACATTACACCTTTCTTCCGAAGAACCTCTCAGTTCTTTTATCTCATTTGCCTCGAAAATGTCCCTTTGGAGGAGGGAAAGGTATTATTAACTTGTTTTTCAGGAGAGAAAATATAGAGTTAATTGCCCTGCTTCCAGGTTCCATTTTAGTGAGAGGAGATGTTTAAATGACACCTTAAACGTGGAGAAATTAATCAGGAGAAACGCCAGTCTCAATTCCCATTCATCCAATACAATGCTGCCATACTGAGCTCCATGTAATACCCCTCCCCGGCCCAAAAGTCTTCAGGGGCTCCTCACAGACTGCTGAATTCAGTCTACCTGAGCAGGCATGGCCCGGGACATTCCAGCCTACATGATCTCACTATGCTCTTATATTTCCCCATGTTTCAGCCAAACCAATCCACTTCCTTGTCCCGACCACCTGCTCTGAGCACCCTGTTCTCCTTTCATAATGTTCAACACACGCGGAATTAACCTGTTTCGTACTTGTCTTCCTATTTGGATGTAAATTCCAGGAAAGCAGGTACTGTCACCATTGTGTTCCCAGGGCCTAGCAGACTTAACTGGCACACAGTAGGTGCTTCTGAAGTGCACACGCACAGCCATGCCTTTGCTTCTGCTCTTCCTCAGCTTCCAATGCTTGCACTGCCATCTCTGCCTGTTGAAGCCAGAGCTGTCCGTCAAGCTCCGATCAAACCCGACTCCTCCTTGGGAGCCACCACACCACCGTCTTTTCTGGTTTTTACCTCGCCTCGGGCTGTGTCACCTTCGCTGGTGCCTGTGAGTACACTTCCTCCCCTGCCCCGCCCAAACTGTCAGCTCTTGAAAGACAGGAGCTGTACCCGCCACGGGGCACAGTGTGAGCATGTTGAACATGTTTTCACTTGTCAAAAACTATCGCTGGCCAGACTTCTTCATTCAGAAAAATTCCCATTTCCAGAGTCTGCAGCTCGTCACGAAAGGGAATTTTTCTCATGCTTATCTTCATTCTACTGGAAGGCCGGGAGGAAGGTCAGCCAGGGAAACCCTGCCAACTCGTCCTTCACAAAGTCTCTCCCTTCTCTTTGAGGAGCACTCTGGCACGTGAGCGGAGGGTTGCGCTTCTTACTGGGGCCCAGAACAAGTTTGCAGGGGTAGCTGCTGGCATTTTTTCGTTTCATTGTCCGTATCATTCATTACCAGCCTAAATATGGGAGAACTAATCAGTGCAACTGCAACTGAGGAGATGTGAGTAAATCAGTGACCTCTCCAAGGAATGTTAGGACTGGTCTGTGCTAACAAATGGGGAGCATTTGCAGGCACCGTTCAGTTACAAGAAGAAGATACCAGACTGAACTAACTCTGGGTATGTGTGAAACCTTAGAAGCAACACATTTTTTTGGCAGCTTGATGACCACCTCCCCCTTCCCCCAGCTACTGGCAACACAGGCATACCGAACATCTGTGCTATAACACTCTATGGAAGTTGGAGAGAGCTGCTTCAACAACCAGGTCATAGAATATTCAGGGCTGTTAAAATTGATGCTGTGGATCTGCATTTATTGACATGGGGAGATGCCCGCAATGTGCTGGTAAGTGAAGGCAGCAGGCTATAAACAGCATAATTATGCAAAATTATTCCATATTCATATCTGTATCTGTTCATGGATGTGTGAATATTCTCCCAAATGTTAATAGTAGCTATTTCTAGGTGATGAAACTTTGGGTAACTTTTTCTTTCCTTTTGTTTTTATAGTTTCTTTGTATTGCCTGAATTTTATTTTTATAGTGGGAAGCTATTTCTATGATCAGAAAAAGAAAAGAAAGCTACTTTTAGCTAGAAAAAAATTGTTGAAAATAAAAAAGCCTCATTTAAAAAATCTTCACATTTCCTTTTGATGTAGTCTCATTTATTTTCTTTTGTTTCTCTTGATTGAGGAGTATAGCAGAACAAATTTTGCTAAGAGAAATGTCAGATTTTACTGGCTATATTTTCTTCTAGGAGTTTTATGGTTTTAAATTTTACATTTAAGTCTTTAATCCAGTTTGAGTTTATTCTCATATGTGGTGTAAGAAGGTATTCTAGTTTTATTTTTTGCATGTATCTGTCCAATTTTCCCAATGCCATTTATTGAATAGACTATCTTTATCCCATTGTATATTCTTGCTTCCTTTGTCATTCCATCTGGTTTCACTTATATGTGGAATCTAAAGAACAAAATAAATGAACAAACAAAATAGAAACAGACTCTAGATACAGAGGACTGACTGATGGCTGCCAGATGGGAGGGGGTTTGGAGGACAGGGTGAAAAAGGTGAAGGGATTAAGAAGCACAGATTGGTAGTTACAGAAGGAGGTAGAGTACAGCACAGGGAATGTAGTTAAAATATTGTAATAACTATGTATGGTGCCAGCTGGGTACTGGAAATGTCAGGGGAAACCCTTTGTAAACTACATGATTGTCTAACCGCTATGCTGTACGGCTGAGACTAATCCAAAATAATGTTGAATGTAAACTATAACTGAAAAATAAAATTTAAATGATAAAAGTCTTCAAATTTCCTAAAAGATGCTTCCTGTAAATCAAACAAAAACACCCCCCCTCAAACTCTTGTATGAGAGAAGAAAATAATTGTTTAACTGCTTCCATAACTGAGCCATATAATGTATCGACCACAGCTAGGAGCCTAGTGAACAAGGGAAGCCTTTTCAAGGAGGGGCATGTGTGAAATCAAGCCCCATCCCAGCATGGGGGGGTGTGCATCCTGTTCAAGTGCCTGCAGTGTACAGTATCTCTTCAACTATCATGTTCACTGAAGCCACTGATGGCAGTTGATTCACAGACACAGTATTTCTAATTCCTTAGCTTATAAGAAGAGAGAGAAAACTTCCCATCTCTGATAGCAAAGAAATGATGACTTAATTCACCATTGCAGTTTCTGTTAAAAAATAAAGACAGAGACATACGTGGTTGGTCACAGTACAACTGACACTTTATTCCACTGTGATTGGCATACTTGTAGGATCAGGACAGCAAGGGAGTAACTCAGTGCAGAACTTCTCTGGACTAAAGGGCTGTGAAAGGCATTACTGGTTTTGGCACACGGAGCGGGTGACCGTACATTGGCTGGAACAAGATGGTCAGTGAAAGAAAATGCACAAACCTAACACCATGTGGAAATCATATCTGAGTTCTGTGGAATGTTAAGAGTAAATAATTACAAGGACTAACATGCAGCTCTAGATAAGTCACAGTATTCATCTACAGACTATTGTCTCCCCTTAGAGACGAGGAGATGGCCTCAGTAATCTATCTGTTCACAGTAGTTTAAAAGAGCGATCAATACACATTGGCGAGATCTGCCTGTTGATTTCTATAGCAATCCATCACAGTTGAAGAAATAATGCTAAATAATGTGCTTTCTCTATATTGTCCTCATTAAATTGGATCTGACTGACCAAGTAATTCAGCTTTTATCTACCTAAATACAGCTACTAATGTCTTTTATCATGTCACAAAGCAGTTTTTGTTAGTTTATCCCTATAAATCACAATGGATGAGAGGGGGCCCTATGCCACAGGTTGTTTTTCTCCTGCCAGGATAACATTATGCTGCTGAGAAGATGAAAGAAGTACCATTACTATGCTGCACATAATTCAGATTTCACATCATCATATCGCACAGGTAGTCCAAAGAAGCCAGCCTAGTGGCGCAGCTGTGTGGGATAAGATTCTGTAGAAGAGGTACACAGATTCTAAGTGATTTCTTGGGGCAAAGTGAAGGGAAGAGGGAAAGAAGCAAAGGAGAGGAAAAGAGAAAACAGCCTCTGTAGAATCAGCTTTTCAAGAGAAAAATCTATTCGCTTGCAGATGACAAAACATAATAGAGAATAGTTCTATAATTTAAGATGATAGAAGTAAAAACATTGAAAATTATGTGCTCAAACCAGCTAGCTGATTGGGTTAGTTTTTCCATGGTTGTTTTTGGGATGTTGAACTTTCCCAAAGGGATTTCTGCTTTTGCCAGCAGTAGGTCACATTGAACCCCCAAGGGCAACCATAACTGCTGAAGGCAATTTTTCTTTAACTTGGGCATGTGGGTAATGTTCATTCTCTCTCTGGCAAAAACGTATTACTCGCCCATGACAAGGCAGGTGGGAACATGACATTGACTGTTCATAGAAGGTATATAATTAGCTATTTGCATGTGAAATAAATTTTGAAGTTAAGCAACAAGGAGAAGAAGGTGGAGGAGGAATTTCTTCCAATTCTGGCAAAAACTCATCAAATCAATAAAAAAGACAGTATAGCTAAGGATGTCTTACTTACTAATGGGGAGATGAAATGACTAAAGGTAATTCTCTCTTGATCATCAGATATAAGGAATGCTTGATCGCAAACATGCAGGTGAGCAGAACAAGGCTTGAAGTAGTATTTCTTAATCTTCCTGATTCTTATTTTTAAAAAACAAGCCACAGGCAATGTGGGAAAGGTGGAGATGACTAGAAAATTCAATAACATGCCTGGATCAGCCACCATTCCTTGGAAAGTACCCTTTCCCTGGCCTGCTAAAAGGCCAATTCTTTCAGACTTAAGTGAAAGACAATGATCTCCCCCTTTGCTGTGGCATTGTTTTACGAAAGAGCTCCGTGCCAGTGTAAGGTTGTGTAACGTAAAGGCTAGAGAGGAAAGAAGTTTTCACTGGATTCCACAGTAAATACTCATGGGTATTTCAAAGAATTGCCCATTGTCAGAAGCTGGTTTCAAGCACCCAGCCTATCACTTCCTGAGCATGCTTCATTGGGCTCACGCTAGACCATTAATAATCATTAAAATTTTAAAATGTATTGATTTTTAGAGAGAGAAGAAAGGGGGGGGAGGGAGGCAGGGAGAGAGAAATATCCACTTGTCCACTTATTGACGTGTTTATCAGTTAGTTCTTGTCTGTGCCCTTGCCTGAGTCGGACCTGTGACCTTGTGTGTATCGGGACGATGCTCGAACCAGTTGAGCTACCTGGCCAGGGCCAATAATCACTTTCAGTTATGAGATCTCTTTTGGAAGAAATAACTTTGCTCAGCTGGGATAATTGCCAAGGGAAGAAGGCTGGTAATAGGGTGAGTCACAATGGGGGGAAATGGGAATGAGCTGAAAAAAAAAAAAAAGACTCTTCCCCAAGGTCTGTATATGGCCAGTAATGAAGCAAAAATTTCTGGAATGTGACTTAAAGACTTTCTAACAGTTGTGCCCATGGGGTTTTTCCAAGCTTCTTGATCTATGATTCCCTAGCAACCATCCAGTGCTGAATTTACCTTTCTTGGTGTGGTGCCCTGCTTCTGGAATTTAGGTCTCTGGGAAGCCCTGTCAGGATGTGCCTCTGTGCAGTTAACTCTCCTCCAAACAGCTGCTCTGGATTTGATCACAGTTCTGTTGAGGGATCCAGGTGCCCTTCTGAGGGAGAGTGGGGGGTGCTGGGAGATGTAGTCATGAGGCAGAGGAGACCAATGGCAGACAGCGTGAACTTGCAGGAAGGTATCCAGAGGGCAAGACCCCTGACTTGACCTGAGGTCAAGCTGACTGTGTTAGAGGTGAGAAAAGCAAAAGAAAATAAATGGAAAAATGTTTTCAGAGTTTGCAAGAAAAAAAAGAGGAAGAATCCATGGACCAGTGCATTTCACAGGAAGCAAAGATGAATAATGACATAAAGAAAAAAACCCAGCTTATCTGACTGATCAAGACATTCTTCAGCATATATTGGCAAGTAAATGATTTTTCCATTGACAATGCAAACACTAACTGTGTGTTTCCTTACGACCATTAATCACCTTTCATTAATCCATTTGTTCTCTATCTTCTAGGTTACTTAATTCATTTAGCAAATCCACAGTTTAGGTACCACCATGAGGGGAGGGAGGGGAAGGTGCAGAATGAACTAATTAAACTTAAAATTAAACTTTCGTATATCAGAGTTAGTAGCACAGTGGCACAGTAGATTGTCAACGAAAACGACAGGAGTGGGGACAGTTGTCGGCCTTGTGAGTGCAGTGTCGCTGGCTGCAGGCAGGCACTGCCACTCAGGAGTCTACCTTCTTGTTAATTAAAATCGAGCAGCAGGTGAGCAGCCCATCCACCTTTTCCAGTTCAGATAGGCTCACGGGGATCAGCATGTGGTCCTTCAGTTTTTCATAAACCTACAGCAGGAATCAAGGAAGAAGAGAGAAGACTTATGTTCCTGCTTCTGTCTTACCACCTGCTTCCCACCTTGTGTAGAGAATTACTGGTGATCTGATTGTGAATTTAGGCTTTACACCCCTTTAGACCCAAGATGTGAATGCAGTCTAGAATCCACATGTGCCCACCGCCATACCCATAAAGCTAGGCTCATTGGTTAACCACTAGCTCTGTGCTTTTAACCTCAAAGTCAGAGATGTGTCAGAATGTGGTTGGAACTCGAGATGCTGTCATTGCTAGATTCAGTGACATGTGAAAGGTGGTGGCCACGTTTTCAGTCTGAGTTACTCTCTCTCCACACTTTTAAAACCCTCAGCTATATTTTAATGTTTCTTTCCTTATCAACATCACTCAGAAAAACTGGAGAAAATATAATTTAAGTGAAGCATTTTAGGTCAAATTGCCTTTTAATTACAGGTGAGAATTTTATAGCATTTTTGACACTCAGAAAGTGTGTGTCAAAACTTCAAATTAATAGTCCATATATTTTTGTCTGATGATCAAACAAAGCACATTAAAAAGTCACTTGAAAATGCACCACCTAAAAACAATCTACCGTGCTTCTTCAGGAAGCACTTTGCTCCTTAAAATTCACACTGTGGTTAAGCAAGGGCTGGAGCTGGATAGAGTCGGGTTCCAAACACAGTTCTGTCAACCGACTACCTGAAGTGTGATTTCAGTCAGGTGACACCCTCTCTGAGCCTCAGATTACTTCTCTGAAAGGCCGGGATAGGAATAGTGCCCTTGCAGGGTTATATGCTAATGCACGTAGCGTGCTGGGCACAGTGCCTGGCATGGGGAGGCCTCCACAGACGTGGATGCTAGCTTTTCCGGTAATGATGAAAGCTACATTCAGAAACAGGTTGTCAGCTGATCAATGTGGCTGAAAAGGCATGAAGGATTCAGAGCTGTGAAGCTCCAAGTGACTTCGGTGATAAGAGTGCTTGCTGATGTCACAGATTCTAGGGTGGAGGTCTAGGCACCTGTAGTTTTAACAACCCTGATGCGCATTAAAGCACAAGACCCACTATTCATCTGGAGCCCAGTCTGGGACCAGGAGTCATATGCTTTTCTCGGGTCCACACTTTCAGCCATAGAAATAGAGGAAAACTGCCTGTGGATGCCCCACCCTTCTCTTTCCACATGTTAAGAGGGAGGCAGGTTATGAAGGTAAGCCTAGAAATTAAACAGTATTGCATATTTAAAAGATGGCATAAAAAACTAAAAATTTTGAAGTTTAAGGTGTAAAAAAATAAGACAAATGGTCACTCCAGGCTCTTCTGCATTGTTTAGTATAAATGGCTTGTTCCTCTGGGCAGAGATGAAGATGCTGAATGCCTAAAAAATAGAGATACTTGAAACATTTGTGGATGTGCACCGTTTTATATGCTTGGTAGGATTAAATTGAAATACTAAAGTATATACATGAGACTGGCAGAATGTCCCAAAGACAAAGAAGATTTTGTTAGACCAGGAAAGAATTCCGTATCTAGGCACAGTTCCCTTGTTGGAACACAAGACTCAAGAGGGACCAGTTGGCTGATTCCAAGTGTACTCTGTCTCTTCCTGCTCTATCCTTTTAACAAAGAGTATTTTAATGCTCATTATGCTACCTAGGATGTACAGCTCCTTCTCTCTGCAGTCCTGACAATGAGCACCCACCTCTGTGGGTCATTCATACGCCTCTGCCTTGGGAAACAAACAACCTTCTGATAAGGGGCAGCCAGAGTTGTCAGAAAGCAATGACACAGTTGACCATCTAATTGTAGGTCTCTGTGCTTAGTGAGTCTGTGAGGGTGGGGAAGCACATTCAATCAGAGCTGGAGCACAAGGACTTATCTGAATACCAGGCATGGTTGTCTCAATCACTATGCATGTGTTAGTGACCAATGACATGAAGGAGAAGAGTGAGTTATATGCACTTTCCTTGTGCCCTAAATTATATTATCTTTTCTGCTTTCCTAATAATTTGATATGTATAGAGGAGAGAGAAACCCTTCTTATTTGTTATTCCACCATGAACCGCCTTCCCCTCCACCCCCAACAGGAAAATTATCAAGGAAGCCTACCTGGCTGCAGTGGTTGGTCACAAAGGATGGTTTCTTACCTTTGCACTTTCTGGATACTCTTCTGGGGTGAGGTGCAGCAAGACATGGCCTTTGCTGGGGATATTTAGATATATACAGTTTGCAGCTATGTCATCAGGCACAGTGAGTTTGTCGTAGCGGTGGTCACTCATCTGTTGCATGATCTGTAAAGAGAACATGACGGGACTAAGCCTAGCGCCCCCCCCCCCCCGCCCTTTCTAACACAAGCAAGGCCGTGCTGTGGGTCAGGAGCTTGCGGCCAATGCCCAGGAGCGCTGCTCTGTGCTGCAACTCCTGTCTGTTACCTTCAGTCACTGAGAGCCAGGAGAAGAAAGCTCGATGAAGCTGTGGCTCTTTGGCAGAATTGTAAGGGTTCTTGTTGTTATTGATCTTTTAAAAGTGTGTGGTCTCTAACTTTTAAAAGGTTTTAAAACTGTCTATAATTTGTCTAGTTTTGTTCATAAGACCTGTCAGTAAGATGCAAAATAGCCACATGTATAAAAGGCCCAGCCAGGGTTTTGATATGCTTGACTGAGGAAGGACAGCTGACCAGGTCTGCAGGAAAAGAAGACTGGAACAGTAATCAGAATGGTCAGAAATCTTATTTTGTAGTAACCACACACGTGCATGAGTGCACGCGCGCGCATGCGTGCACGCACACATGCACAGACACCTTTCTCTTCTATGAATGTTTAAATTGAATATACCTCTCTGTTAGCAGGTATGTTCTTAGTATAGTTAGCATAAAAATCACCTGGGGAGAATATGAAACTCATGTTCTGAGGCCTCATCCACTCCTGCCTTCCCACCATTTGACTGTGGTTTGAAGATTTGAGGCAAGGCATAGCAATTTGCACTCTGGAAGGCCTCCAGGTAATTCTGAGGCAGACCCCTGGACCACACTTGGCTCAAAACTGACCTAGCAGGTCTATTCGTCAAATGACGGGTTTATTAGTGTCTTACTATAAATAACTTTAAAAATAACACAAAGTGAATTCTACACAAAATTTAAAATATTGACACCTCCTCCTCACTTCCTCAATGCAATCAAAATTAAACCCCCCAGAATAACCCCCTCCCCAAACCACACACACAACAAAAATGTCCAAACATCAAAGCAAAGCAAGTATTACTTTGGGCTTAGTCATTCAGACTTTTCCATTCTTTATCAATACCCGTATGTATTTTTAAAATTATTTATTTATTTATTTTTAGAGAGAGGAGAAGGAAGGGAGGAAGAGAGGGAAACATTGATGTGCGAGAGATACATTGATTGGTTGTCTCTTGCACACCCCCAACTGGGGACTTGGCCTGCAACCCAGGCATGTGCCCTGACTGGGAATCGAACCAGTGACCTTTCTGATTCACAGGCCAGTGCTCAGTCCACTGAGTCACACCAGCCAGGGCAATACCCATTTGTTTTAAGGAATCTCTCTAAAAGCCATGTAAAGAAGGTATTAAAAAGACCTTTTCCACAAGCTGGTTCTAATATTCCTTTCCAGACAGGTGTCCCTTTACCCTTCAATATTTGTGTGAAAATGTGTTTCATATTACGAGACCCCAGAATTAGGCAGACTTGCCCACTTGGTCATGGTGGCACTGGACAGTAAGATTTATGGGATGGAAGCATGGAAGAGACTGCATGCTCCCAAGAGAATGTGAAAAGTGGCATGTAGTAAGCCCTTCCTGACTCACCAATCAGGCAAACTGTTCACTTCTCCTAGTGAAATATGTCAAGGGCTGAGAGAGGCTAGAAGTATTATGATCCTTCATAGAGAAGGAAACATCAGGAATGGGATGAACTTATGCACTACATCAAAGGCTGAGAGACACAAAGGTGAGCAGGACATAGATCCAGTGTTTTAAAAATTGATTTGAGAGATAGATAGATAGATAGATACATACATACATACATACATACATAGAGAGATATTTGTTGTTCCACTTATTTGTGTATTCACTGGTTCTTCTTTAGGTTCCCTGACTGGGGATGGAACCTGCAACCTTTGCGCCTCAGGATGACACTCTAATCAACTGAGGTACTGGGCCAGGGTCTAGCTCCAGTTTTCAGAGAGGCCACAGTTTAATGGAGGAGACTGACAAATAGAGATCACATTACGATAAGAACAAGCAGGACACCAGCCTAAATATTTTACATTTATTATCAAATCTCAAAATTTCTATTTCATAGATGAAGAAACTGGGTTTAGAAAGGTCAAATAACTTGCTCAAGGCCATATAGTTGAATTCAAGCCCAGCTCTGTGCAACTCGAAACCTTCTTCATTAGTCCTCTCACTGCTCTCTTTCCTGACCCCAGAGCTGCGGTGGCTCTCTCTCTCTAAACTACCATTAGCATGTACTTTTTTCATTTGTTTAGCACTTATTATTTTATTCATTCTCTTGAGGTACCATGAATTCTTTTTTCATTCATAATCCTATTAGGACATAGTACAGTTTGGTGTACCTACAAGATTTGACTAAACATCTCTCTTGCACTTTCTAATTTAAATTGTTCTCCGAAAGGGCAGGTCCACAGAGTAGATCGGCTGTAGGGTGGGTCCTTTAGAGCCCTGATAGAGAAGTCCTAGGCCTGTTTGAATGTGTGGATAATTAAGAAGCTAATGACACTCCTTAAGATGAACTATTCTAAGCAAATAAACAACATATTCCATTTAGCCCTTTTTATAAAATGGATATGCTCAAAAATAATATGGAGAGGTTGATATGAGAAAAATCATGACCCAAAGAGCACTCTTCTATTATGAATTGCTATTTAATGCAGACTTCCTTTTTGGCTGCTTTCAAAACACAGTGATAGTAGTTTCCATTTATTACTGTGTGGTGGGGGGCACATTAAGGCCTTCAACTCTGGAGAAAGACCTGGATTTTGGTCTCAGCTCTAACCTTTATGAGCTATGTGAATTTAAGCTTTTTTTTGACTTCTTGGTTTCCTCACCTATAAAACTGCGATAATAATGGTCTTTTATACTCACTGTGACAGTTAAATGAAGATAATGTATATAATAAGGCACAGTAACAAGCCCTTAATAAGCCACTAGTATTTTATGACAGCATGAGTAGACAAAGTTCAAGTTTCCAGTCTGCAGTCTACTCTTCTGGCAAGGTTTAACTTTTAACTTCAGTCTTAAAATAGCTTGTTTTGGAGGTCTATCTTTATACTTAAAACCACATAACACTATATCTGTCATATTTCTATGGTAATTTCTTTAGCGTCCTCCTTTCTAAGGCCTACACTGTTTAAGAGGTAATTCAATGGTTTTGCAGGGTTAGCATCCCTTCTGCCTGGATCCCCTAGAGATAATTGCTAGAGAGTTCCCAGATTTTTCAAAACCGGGACAAATTTTATTGAGAGTTTTTTTTTAATAAAGTTTCTCTTTCATTTCAAATGGACTGCTAACTCCTTAAATGCAGGTTTAGGCATAAACCTAAAGCAGTGAGCAAAGCATGGGCTTCGGAGTCAGACAGGAGAGCAAAGCATGGACTCCGGAGTTGGGACCGGTGAGCACAGCTCAGGCTCTAGAGTCAGACAGGTCTGGGTCTGCAGCCTTGCTCTGCAGCACACTAACTCTGTGACCCTGAGCAAGTCGCTTAAGCTCTCTGAGCCTCCATTCCCTCAGCTTTAAAATAGGGCAACACTGAAGATTATTTTTTAAAATGCAACAAAACAGATCATGTACATAAAGTGCTTGAACAAGTTTCCAGCACATACAAAGTGTGTAATAAATGTTAAGCATTCTTCCATCTTCGTTTCTTGCAAGTTGCCTGGCATGTAGCAGGTGATCGAAATACATTTATTAACTAATTGATTAGTTTCTTCATTCCTTTCAAAGGATATAGGGAACTTCAGAAGTGCACTGGGATGGACTATGCGATCAATTACACATGTGACAACTGCATTCCCTCAGGAAAACAAGGTATGTATGGTCCACATCCAGAAACACAAATACGATTCATTACTTAAAGTAAACCAGGCTAAACTCAATGAGGCCAAGTTTTGTCTTTTTCTTTATGCTGTACAGAAGGGCACTATGCTATGTGGTCCCAACCCAAATGACTTTGGTTGTAAGACAATAATGGTGGACCTGGGGTGAGTGTACAGCACCTAAAGCATTAAACCAAAGGAAGGAAAGAAAAAAGCTTTATGTATAGCAAACTAAATACATATACCTGTGACTGACACTGTAACCCCTAATTTGGTAAAATGGTACAGGAACTGAAAGAACAGACTCGTTTCTTCAGGATATAAATGGGGCTCTTTCTAAATGCAAGACACAAGTTAGGATTTGTGTGACTTCAGCAATTACTCTGGGTCCATCTGGCCAGCATGCTTCTTGCCTGGTACAGGGAGTAGGATTGCACTATGTCTGAATCTCTGCTTATTGTGTCCTGTTGGAGGTGGGCCAAGACGGTCAGTCTGCTCATGTCTGCAGTCAGACCAGACTGTCATCTCTCGCAGGGATCGGCCCTAATTTACCCAGGAGCTCCGGATTTCTTCCAGACCGGGAATGAGACGGTCCCCTGGGCCAGACACCCACTAAGTTGAACCCCAGTGATCCAAGGGCCTCACAAAGATCCATGAAACATGGTATATATAGCCATTTCCTGGTCAAGTGTAGACACAAATAAAACACAAATGACTTTGTGTTTTATTTGTGTTTCTCCTGTTTCCATTGACTTGATTTTCTAAGCAAATGAGAAAATTGTGGGTAGCGTATTTTGGCCTATCCCATTCAGGCTTCTCACTCCTGCCATTCATAAGCACTAGATAATTGCCAGTTGTTTTTCCAGGTTAATTCATGGTCCATAGGTGATTCATTGCATTCTTTTCTCATAGATAAAGAAATCACTTATGTACAAGATGAGCTGAAAGAGAAAGGAGTGTGGCAAGACCACGGCTCACAGGCTGACTATACCTTCAATGGCCCCATAAGCAGCCTGGGCAAATTTCCCACCTCTTCATCTGACTCATGGATGTCTGGTGGGGCTATGAAGCAGAAACATGGAATGTTGTACATTCCAGAGGAAGTGTTACCAAGGATCGTTATCGGTGCTGAAATCTTGTTTATCAGTGAGGGAACTAACTAAAATTCCAAGGTTGTGCCCATCTCAGAAAGTGCCTAGTTTTTTTGGAGTAACGGAAAC